ACCCCCGGCAAAATATTTTTCAACTTAAGTTAAAAGGCTTTTTTATGCAAGATGAGCATGGTTCTAAAACATTGGTCAAGTTGGGCGGGTTGGGCTATGACCTATTACTTAGCTTATTTTGACTCAACCCATCTTAGCCCAAGTACACTTTAGGCTGAATTGGGTAACGGCCCATTTATTAATCTAACCCATCTTGACCCGCCAAATTTAGCTCAACCCGCTCATTTGCTACTCCTACCATATGCTCTTAAGTTCTTCTCTCCACATGTGGCAGTCTTTGCGAGATACGTGGGTGAATCAGACGAAGAAGAGTACGTTGGTCATTGGTGTCCATTTATGGTAAATGCTAAAATTAAGTATTGTTTCATCCGTTCCAATTTATGTTAATCTATTTGACTGGACACATAGTTTAAGAAAAAATGAAGACTTTTTGAATTTGTAGTCCTAAACAAGTCAAAAAAGATTTTAGAATATTTGTGTGGTTATAAAAACTTTTCATTAAGGGTAGAATTGTAAGTTTAAGCTAAATTATTTCTAAATTTAAAAAAGAATCATTCTTTTTAGAACGAACAAAAAAAACTGGTTCACGTAAACCAAAACACAAAAGTAAATGAATGGCACAAACGACGAGGAGGACGATCACTCGAAAAGGAATCCTGGTTGTTGACTGAAGAATCCTAAAGATTATGATTGAAGTTACAAAAAGGAATTGGAAGGTGCAAGTGTAAGTTCGTTTCTTGAATTTAGTGTAGTCTAATTGCTCCATGCTCATCGCACGCCCTCCCAGTCCTCGCGAGTTACACAATCACATAATTAGTAATTCATCCGGTTCACAAATATTTTATCTTTTTATTTTGATTCAAAATAAGTATTCATTAATATAATTAAAAAGAAATTAATTTTATCTTTTTATATTTAAATGTGTCAAGATAATAATTAATTAAAATTAATTTATTAATTAATTAAAGTTAATTTTAGTGAATATATTTTTTTTCTAAAAATTCATATTTCTTTAATAAGTGTACTTAGACAAGTGAGACTTGCTCAGTTGGTAAAAACACATTCACCTACGACCGTTAGGTCCTTGGTTCGAGTCACCATGGAGGGGAAGTGTGGAAACACTATAGATCCTCCTGATTTGGGAGGGGTTTAGAAAAAGGATAAAAAAGTGTACTTAAAGTAAAATGGTCACTTATTAGGAACCGAAGGGAGTAATGAGTTAAGCAATCACATAATTAGTAAAACTCAGTCAATTTGGTGAACAAATAGCATGTTACTATATATATNATTATTAGTTTATTTAGGGATAAATTGGTAACTAAGTCAAAGGAAAGCATGCGTACTACATTGTCTAAACACATGTACTGTAATTTTACTGTGTAAAAGTTCTATTATCTCTCACCTACCTTACATGACTCCTCCATTTTTCCTCCAATTTCTTCCCATCGTACATTAATTCAGTCTAGAAATTTCTATTGCCTTTGATTTTTATTCGATTTTGTACAAATTTTTCCAGCAGTGCTTCAAATGGCTGGATTCTCTAAGATCGATGTCTCGACGTTTAGAAATCGGAGAGAGGTGCAGTTCCATGTTGTTTTAGAGATTGAAAAACGTTCGTCGTTTTACTACTAATTTCTTAAAAAGTTACCAGATTTTCTTATAACTATTATAGAAATTCCTATGGCTTTGACTCTCCTTTTAACCGATTCTGCACATGCACCTAAAGAAGATGGACAAGAGAGAAAGTAAGTCTCCATCTTAAACAATTATTTTATTCTTTCTCTTACCCATCTTATGCATTTGTTTTGTTTGCCCCTCCTTTTGGTCTTAGATTTTGGTTTTATTTCAAAATTTCAAAATTTTAGTTAGGTTTTCCTAGTTATTCTTTAATTTTACTTAGTTTATATCTATTATTTCTTGATGGACATGTAAACATATGATTCTATTATTTTCAATATTAATCTACAATTGTCATACTACCTCTGGAATTCTCCTTGTTACTAATATTTAGAAACGACAGTTGGAGATGGACGAACATATGGGATTTGGAGGTGGACGAACAGGGGAAAACTTGTGATTTCAAATTCTTTTTTGGGGTAAATTTGCAACTAAAATTACTTCTATGTAATACATGTATGTATAATTTTTTCTCTCCTTATCGATAGATTCTAGAATCCACTCCAGAGCTCTACTCCCTCTGCATGCTGTTTCCTTTGTTGCTCTGCTTCTGGCCATCGCTATGGGTCAATTTTTCAAAATTCTTTGGGTCGAGTTTGTCTTTCGTATTTTTATATTTTTGAATTGCGGTAAGTTTTTTTCTTCTTTTATTCTTTATTTATTGCACACTACCTATTTCCCATTATTGGTTGGAACATATGCATTTGTATACCCCTTTGTATTTTTTTGTTTTTTTGACTTTCTTCAATTTATTAAGAAAATAGTTTTTTTAATGCATGTTGATTTATTTTATTTTTCCATGTTTCCTGCTTGTGTTACTTTTTGTGTTTCTATGCATGTCTTTTACAGTTTAATTTTCGGAGCTTCTAACAGTCCTTGAACTTTTCTGGGTGGGCATGATTAGCTCTTTTTCAGGTCAACAACTTATATTATGTTACTTTTGGTAAGTTTAGCTGTGAATTATGCAATTCAATTTTTGTAATAACCTAAAGTATCAAAATTGTTGTTGGGAGATTGGATCTATTCATTTGCTCTATATTTGACTTTTAAATTGTTCTTCTCCGACTTTACTACTTTTATATAAATTTCTTTCTTGACGATATCTGTATATATGAAAACTTTTACTTTCATAATGTTCTTTATCTGTACATGTTGTGTTTTATGATCAGTGACAGCTTCCATCAATATGACTTCTTGCTTTCCTTTTACTTTATTTTTTCAGTTATTTGATCTTTTCATTGTTTACATACACATGATGGATTTAAACTACAACCTATACAGGAAGCAAGGAACTTCTATAATTTACCTTTTCAAGCTATACACAAAAAGTTATGCCATAAAACACCATCTCACATCATCTTAGCAGAAAACTTTCATACTTTTCACAGTAAGGAACAACAAGAAGTAACTCAGCAAAGCATATAGATCCGACACTGAAAGGAAGCGCCGAAAATAGTAAGGAAACTCACCCCAAGAGAGATGACATTTTGAAGCTGTGATGGAGAAAGGTAATTCCAGAGAGAGCAGCGAAAGGGAGAGAATTAGAACAACAAAGAAATTTCTGAACTTCAAGAGCAATTAGAAACAACAGTTGGGGTGTAAGAACCGGGGACGAAGAGGGGTACTTTAGTAATTATGAGTTTATTTAGGGATAAATTGGTAACTAAGTTAAAGGAAAGCACGCGTACTACATTGTCTAAACACGTGTACCGCAATTTTACTGTGTACAAGTTCTATTCTCTCCCACCTACCTTACATGACTCCATTTTTCCTCCAATTTCTTCCCATCGTACATTAATGCAGTCTAGAAATTTCTATTGCCTTTGATTTTTATTCGATTTTGTACAAATTTTTCCAGCAGTGCTTCAAATGACTGGATTCTCTAAGATCGATGTCTCGACGTTTAGAAATCTGAGAGAGGCGCAGTTCCATGTTGTTTTAGAGATTGAAAAATGTTCTATCATTTTACTATTTATTTCTTAAAAAGTTACCAGATTTTCTTATAACCATTATAGAAATTCCTATGGCTTTAACTCTCCTTTTAACCGATTCTGCACATGCACCTAAAGAAGATAGGCAAGAGAGAAAGTAAGTCTCCATCTTAAACAATTATTTTACTCTTTCTCTTACCCATCTTATGCATTTGTTTTGTTTGCCCCTCCTTTTGGCCTTAGATTTTGGTTTCATTTCAAAATTTCAATATTTTGGTTAGGTTTTCCTGGTTATTCTTTAATTTTACTTAGTTTATATCTGTTATTTCTTGATGGGCATGTAAACATATGATTCTATTTTTTTCAATATTGATCTATAATTGTCATACTACCTCTGAAATTCTCCTTGTTACTAATATTTAGAAACGACAGTTGGAGGTGGACGAACATATGGGATTTGGAGGTGGACGAACATATGGGATTTGCAGGTGGACGAACAGGGGAAAACTTGTGATTTCAAATTCTTTTTTGGGGTGAATTTGCAACTAAAATTACTTCTATGCAATACATATATGTATACGTTTTTCTCTCCTTATCGATAGATTGTAGAATCCACTCCAGAGCTCTACTCTCTCTGCATTTTGTTTCCTTTGCTGCTCTGCTTCTGGCCATCACTATGGGTCATATTTTTCAGAATTCTCTAGGTCGAGTTTGTCTTTCGTATTTTTGTATTCTTTATTTTTGAATTGCGCACTACCTATTTTCCCTTTATTGGTTGGAATATATGCATTTGTATACCTCTTTGTTTTTTTTTTGTTTTTTTGACTTTCTTCAATTTATTAAGAAAATAGTTTTTAATGCATGTTGATTTATTTTATTTTTCCATGTTTCCTGCTTGTATTACTTTTTGTGTTTCTAATATTTTTTATGCATGTCTTTTACAGTTTAATTTTCGGAGGTTCCAACAGTTCTTGAACTTTTCTGGGTGGGCATGATTAGCTCTTTTTCAGGTCAACAACTTATATTATGTTACTTTTGGTAAGTTTAGCTGTGAGTTATGCAATTCAATTTTTGTAATAACCTAAACTATCAAAATTATTGTTGGGAGATTGGATCTATTCATTTGCTCTATATTTGACTTTTAAATTGTTCTTCTCCGACTTCACTACTTTCATATAAATTTCTTTCTTGACGATATCAGTATATATGAAAACTTTTACTTTCATAATGTTTTTTATCTGTACATATTGTGTTTTATGATCAGTGATAGCTTCCATCAATATGACTTCTTGCTTTCCTTTTACTTTATTTTTCCAGTTATTTGATCTTTTCATTGTTTACTTAACATGATGGATTTAAACTACAACCTATACAGGAATCAAGGAACTTCTATAATTTACCTTTTTCAACCTATACAGCAAAGAGTTATGCCATAAAACACCATCTCACATCATCTTAGCAGAAAACTTTCATACTTTTCACAGTAAGGAACAACAAGAAGTAACTAAGCAAAGCACATAGATCTGACACTGAAAGGAAGCGCCGAAGAAAGTAAGGAAACTCATCCCAAGAGAGATGATATTTTGAAGCTGTGATGGAGAAAGGTAATTCTAGAGAGAGCAGCGAAAGGGAGAGAATTAGAACAACGAAGGAATTTCTGAACTTCAAGACCAATTAGAAACAACAGTTGGGGTGTACGAACCTGGGATGAATAGGGGTACTTTAGTAATTATTAGTTTATTTTAGGGATAAATTGGTAAAAGTCAAAGGAAAGCACGCGTACTACATTGTCTAAACACGTGTACTGCAATTTTACTATGTAAAAGTTCTATTCTCTCCCACCAACCTTACATGACTCCTCCATTTTTCCTCCAATTTTTTCCCATCGTACATTAATGCACTCTAGAAATTTCTATTGCCTTTGATTTTTATTCAATTTTGTACAAATATTTCCAGCAGTGCTTCAAATGGCTAGATTCTCTAAGATCGATGTCTCGACGTTTAGAAATCTGAGAGAGGCGCAGTTCCATGTTGTTTTAGAGATTGAAAAATGTTCGTCGCTTTGCTACTAATTTCTTAAAAAGTTACCAGATTTTCTTATAACTATTATAGAAATTCCTATGGCTTTGACTCTCCTTTTAACCGATTCTGCACATGCACTTAAAGAAGATGGCCAAGAGAGAAAGTAAGTCTCCATCTTAAACAATTATTTTACTCTTTCTCTTACCCATCTTATGCATTTGTTTTGTTTGCCCCTCCTTTTGGCCTTAGATTTTTGTTTCATTTCAAAATTTCAATATTTTGGTTAGATTTTTCCGGTTATTCTTTAATTTTACTTAGTTTATATCTGTTATTTCTTGATGGACATGTAAACATATGATTCTATTTTTTTCAATATTGATTTACAATTGTCATACTACCTCTGGAATTCTTCTTGTTACTAATATTTAGAAATGACAGTTGGAGGTAGACGAACATATAGGATTTGGAGGTGGACGAACAGGGGAAACATTGTGATTTCAAATTCTTTTTTTGGGTGAATTTGCAACTAAAATTACTTCTATGCAATACATGTATGCATACGTTTTTCTCTCCTTATCGATAGATTGTAGAATCCACTCCAGAGCTCTATTCTCTCTGCATTTTGTTTCATTTGCAGCTCTGCTTCTTGCCATCGCTATGGGTTATCTTATTCAGAATTCTCTGGGTCGAGTTAGTCTTTCGTGTTTTTGTGTTTTTAATTGCGGTAAGTTTTCTTCTTCTTTTATTCTTTATTTATCGCACACTACCTATTTCCCATTATTGGTTGGAATATATGCATTTGTATACCTCTTTGTGTTTTTTTTTGTTTTTTTTGACTTTCTTCAATTTATTAAGAAAATAGTTTTTTTAATGCATGTTGATTTATTTTATTTTTCCATGTTTCCTGCTTGTGTTACTTTTTGTGTTTCTAATATTTTTTATGCATGTCTTTTACAGTTTAATTTTCGGAGCTTCCAATAGTCCTGGAACCTTTCTGGGTGGGCATGATTAGCTCTTTTTCAGGTCAACAAATTTTATTATGTTACTTTTGGTAAGTTTAGCTGTGAGTTATGCAATTCAAGTTTTGTAATAACCTAAAGTATCAAAATTGTTGTTGGGAGATTGGATCTATTCATTTTCTCTAATTTGACTTTTAAATTTTTCTTCTCCGACTTTACTATTTTCATATAAATTTCTTTCTTGACGATATCTGTATATATGAAAACTTTTACTTTCATAATGTTCTTTATCTGTACATGTTGTGTTTTATGATTAGTGACAACTTCCATCAATATGACTTCTTGCTTTCCTTTTACTTTATTTTTCCAGTTATTTGATCTTTTCATTGTTTACTTAACATGATGGATTTAAACTACAACCTATACAGGAATCAAGGAACTTCTATAATTTACCTTTTTCAACCTATACAGCAAAGAGTTATGCCATAAAACACCATCTCACATCATTTTAGCAGAAAACTTTCATACTTTTCACACTAAGGAACTACAAGAAGTAACTCAGCAAAGAGTATAGATCCGACACTGAAAGGAAGCACCGAAGAAAGTAAGGAAACTCACCCCAAGAGAGATAACATTTTTGAAGTTGTGATGGAGAAAGGCAATTCCAGAGAGAGCAGCGAAAGGGAGAGAATTAGAACAACGAAGGAATTTCTGAACTTCAAGAGCAATTAGAAACAACAGTTGGGGTATACGAACCGGGGACAAATAGGGGTACTTTAGTAATTATGAGTTTATTTAGTGATAAATTGGTAACTAAGTCAAAGGAAAGCACGCGTACTACACTGTCTAAACACGTGTACTATAATTTTACTGTGTAAAAGTTTCATTCTCTCCCACCTACCTTACATGACTCCTCCATTTTTCCTCCAATTTCTTCCCATCGTACATTAATGCAGTCTAGAAATTTCTATTGCCTTTGATTTTTATTCGATTTTGTACAAATTTTTCCAGCAGTGCTTCAAATGGTTAGATTCTCTAAGATCGATGTCTCGAAGTTTAGAAATCTGAGAGAGGCGCAGTTCCATGTTGTTTTAGAGATTGAAAAATGTTCGTCGTTTTACTACTAATTTCTTAAAGTTACCAGATTTTCTTATAATTATTATAGAAATTCCTATGGCTTTGACTCTCCTTTTAACCGATTCTACACATGCACCTAAAGAAGATGGGCAAGAGAGAAAGTAAGTCTCCATCTTAAACAATTATTTTACTCTTTCTCTTACCCATCTTATGCATTTGTTTTGTTTGCCCCTCCTTTTGGCCTTAGATTTTGGTTTCATTTCAAAATTTCATTATTTTGGTTTGGTTTTTCTGGTTATTCTTTAATTTTACTTAGTTTATATCTGTTATTTCTTAATGGGCATGTAAACATATGGTTCTATTTTTTTCAATATTAATCTACAATTGTCATACTACCTCTGGAATTCTCCTTGTTACTAATATTTAGAAACGACAGTTGGAGGTGGACGAACATATGGGATTTGGAGGTGGACGAACAGGGGAAAACTTGTGATTTCAAATTCTTTTTTGGGTTGAATTTGCAACTAAAATTACTTCTTTGCAATACATGTGTATACATTTTTCTCTCCTTATCGATAGATTGTAGAATCCACTCCAGAGCACTACTCTCTCTGCATTTTGTTTCCTTTGCTGCTCTGCTTCTGGCCATCGCTATGGGTCATCTTTTTCAGAATTCTCTGGGTCGAGTTTGTCTTTTGTGTTTTTGTATTTTTGTATTCTTTATTTTTGAATTGCGCGCTACCTATTTCCCATTATTGGTTGGAATATATGCATTTGTATACCTCTTTGTGTTTTTTTTGTTTTTTTTGACTTTCTTCGATTTATTAAGAAAATAGTTTTTTTAATGCATGTTGATTTATTTTATTTTTCCATGTTTCCTGCTTGTGTTACTTTTTGTGTTTCTAATATTTTTTATGTATGTCTTTTACAGTTTAATTTTCGGAGCTTCCAACATTCCTTGAACTTTTCTGGGTGGGCATGATTAGCTATTTTTCAGGTCAACAACTTATATTATGTTACTTTTGGTAAGTTTAGCTGTGAGTTATGCAATTCAATTTTTCTAATAACCTAAAGTATCAAAATTGTTGTTGGGGGATTGGATCTATTCATTTGCTCTATATTTGACTTTTAAATTGTTCTTCTCCGACTATACTACTTTCATATAAATTTCTTTCTTGACGATATCTGTATATATGAAATTTTTTACTTTCATAATGTTCTTTATCTGTACATGTTGTGTTTTATGATCAGTGACAGCTTCCATCAATATGACTTCTTGCTTTCCTTTTACTTTATTTTTCCAGTTATTTGATCTTTTCATTATTTACTTAACATGATAGATTTAAACTACAAAAACTGATGCAACTAAGACGCTCGATGTTATTCCTGCAACAACTGAACAATTTAACAATTTGATTGGTCAGTGAAATTGTAAAACAAGTGAAAAGGATACATCCCTTGAAAAGGATACACGCTATATGTCATATCGGATCTGGCAATGACCAAGAAATAAAAAATTCATGAGGGTTCTATTTAGTTAAATACAGTAGTAGATGAAAAAGGTGCATAAACTTCAGTTTTACTTTTTGTTGTAAGATTCTTATCTCCTAAAGAATTCTTCCCAAAGATTTGATTTTATGTTTGTGATTTCTTTTGAGGGAAACATAGTCAATTTCTGGTTCTGTGTTTTTTTTTTTGCGTAATACTTTTGAAGTAGAGTTTTTTATTTGAATTGATAGAAAATATGTGTGGTTATACAAGTAATTAAGTCTAAGATAAATGGTTGGTTAAAGTATATTCGTATCTGTCCCTTTGAAGGATTTAGGAGAAATCATCATGGGAATTTTCTTTCTGTATCATTCTATATATCATCTGTACAGTGTATGCTCTTTATATACAAGTAAAATTGCCTGACAAGGCATCTTTCTATGCTAACAAACTCTAACAGAATTGTAAAATAAATAATTGCAAAAGAAAAATATTTACATGGTAAAATCCCTAATCTACCCTTAATGTTGTTTCTAAAATTCCACAACTGTGCAGCTTATGAGACGCATGATGGAGGACACACGTCTTAATTATAGCAATCTTTGAGAACCTTAGATGTTCTTTCTCTCAACTAGGTCATGTCTCCTTCTCCTTCTGTAATCGGAGACTCGTCGGAAATGGTAGAATGAAGATTTTGTCCGGCAACACCCCCCTTCAAGCTGGAAACCAGTGATCGGACTCCAAGCTTGACCAGAAAAGATCTATGCAAAGGACCAGCTAGTGCTTTTGTAAAAAGATTGGCGATTTGAGAAGAAGAAGGAACAAAAGACAAAGAGATCAATCCATCCAGAAGTTTTTCACGAACGAAGTGCCAATCAACCTCAATATGCTTGGTCCGTTCATGAAAGTATGTGGATGGCTTCTTGGTTATCGCAATGAAGAGGAACCGGCAAAGAGGGAACAACAGATAGGTCGTGCAACAATCGGACCACCCAAGTTATTTTAGCAGCTAATCGGCGCATTGAACGGTATTCAGCTTCTGGGGAAGAAAGAGCGACTACCTGCTGCTTCTTAGATTTCCAAGAAATGGGGTAACCACCAAGACTTAAGAAAAAACCACTCACTGAACGGCGTGTATTGGAGCAAGAAGCCCAGTCGGCATCGCAGAAAGCTAAGAGTTGAAATGAAGGTTCAGAAGACATGAATAAACCAAGACCTGGATCCCTGGAAATGTAACGCAAAACATGCAATGCTGCTTGGTAATGTCCAGTATAGGGAGATTGCATATGCTGACTGAGAGTTTGCACAGCAAAAGAAAGGTCTGGACGTGTGCTAGTTAAAAAATTCAGCTTGCCCAAAAGACGTCGGTAAACAGTCGGATCAGGGAGAGGTTCACCACAACTGAAAGAAAGCTTAATGGTAGGATCCAATGGAGAAGAAGCTGGTCGAACATTCAAGCAATCAAAATCTGTAAGTAACTCTAAAGCAAACTTTCTTTGTGTGACAATTAAACCTCCTGATTCCCTGATCAATTCTAAACCCAAGAAATAATATGCCAACCCCAAATCCTTTATTTTAAATTCCATGTCAAGAAACTGTTTGATCTCATTGATTTCTGCTTGATTATTACCAGTGATCAAGACATCATCCACGTAAACTGCAAGAATGGTTATCAAATCCCCAGATACTTTGAAGAAAAGAGAGTAGTCATTAAGGGAGGAAGTGAAACCTCTGGTTCCCAAAGCAGAAGACAAATGTGCATACCACTGACGAAAAGCCTGTTTGAGGTCGTACAATGATTTTCTAAGTCGACAAACATGAGAAGGAGATGGAGGAGATAGTCCAAGTGGGAACCTCATATATACTTCTTCATCTAATTCACCATGGAGGAAGGCGTTATTGACGTCAAGTTGAAACAAATCCCAATTTCTTTTCACAGCAATAGACAGAATGCAGCGGATTGTTGTCATTTTCACAACCGGAGAGAAGGTATCAGTATAGTCAATTCCTTCCCTTTGTGTGTCCCCTCGAATTACCAATCTCGCTTTCAGTCGCTCCAAAGTCCCATCAGATTTCAGCTTAACTTTGTAAACCCACTTGCAGGGTAATGCCTTCTTCCCTTCAGGCAGTTCGACAACATCCCAAGTATGATTAGACGCTAATGCCTCAAACTCCTTTACCATGGCATCTTGCCATCCAGGATGAGCAGCTGCTTGGTGATAGGTTTGAGGTTCATTAATGTGACATATAGAAGAAATGAGCCCCTGGTTCTCTTTAGTCAAGGCAGAGAAACAAAAAGAATGGAATGGAAGGAAAGGAGGATTAGGAGAAATAGAAGAAGCATTATTGCAGAGATAATCGGAGAGATACTTAGGGGCATTGTGAACTCTTGTGGATTTGCGCAGCTCAGGTCCATGTGATGAGGATAACACTGGTTCTAAAGAGTCTTGTGTACCTGCAGGTGGAGATGGGGGCCTTATAATTAGGAGTTTTATAAGGCCCCCAGGTGTCAATATGTATTAGATCAAAACAGTGGTTTGAGGTGATTTTACTAGGATAAAAAGGCAGTTTCGACTGTCTTGCCATAGGGCAAATTGTGCAAGGGCAGTCTTCTTAATCTGAAAAAGTAATAGGAATGTCTTTAATATGCTTCATAGCTGTAAAAGGTAAGTGTCCCAATCTTGAATGCCATAGTTTATCCATAACAGAAACATGGGAAATAGAAACAATTTTATTCATAATGTCATTTGATTGTCCTTGATAAATAGGATGGACAGACCCTGGATACAAAGACTTTGGACAAACTGACTCATACTTAGAAGAAGGCACTGGACTACAAGACTTGGACGCGACATTAAAAAGAGAAGAGATTGGTGCATGAGGCTTGATCGATCGAGATTCCAACTGGTGAGTGTTATCCTCCAGCACATAGAGCCCTGATGCAGCTTTACCAAAAATCTGATACCTCTTCTTTGAAGGGACCTGTATAGCACAACCAAACTTGTTAAAAAGAAGATCACAATTAAATTGGTAGCACAATTGGTAGACTGATAACAAATTGCGCCTGAAAGAAGGAACAAATAACACATGGTGTAGTTCAAATTTAGGAGTTAAGAATAGACTTCCTATATAATGTACTTTTACTTTAGAAGAATTGGGGAGGCTGACCAAAATTGGTGGTGACAGAACTGTTATATTGTGTAACAGGTGTTTTTGATATGTCATATATTGAGATGCTCCTGAATCTATGATCCAAGGAATGAGAGTGAGCGGAGAAAACAAAGAGGTAAAGAAGTGACAAGCAAAGTGTATACCAGCTAGATTAGCACTGGGTGAGGCAACAGGGTTTGAAGTGGATCCTCCATTCTGCACAGATTGAAACATGCTAATCAACCGCTCGACCTGCTCTTTAGAAAATCCATGAGACTGAACAAGAGAGGAAACAACATTTCCTGAAATTCCTATAGTGAGTTCAGGTGTACAACTGGCTGAATTTGCATTAGGAGTAGCATATGCACCCTATTTCTGCCTGTTAAACTTAAAATGTGGTGGGTATTCTATTAACTTATAGCAACCTTCCTTGACATGCCCAGATTTTTTGCAGTAGTTGCAGAAGAGATCACTCCTTTTTACATCAGCACCTGAGTTTGGAATACCAACTTTGGCTCCTCCATGATGTTTCTGAGGAGCCCATTTTTGCCCAGAAACCATAAAAGCAGAAGACTCAACGGAAAAGGAAGTACCAGAATGAATTTCTCTTTGTGACTCATCATGTAATACAATGGAATAGGCTTGAGCAGTAGAAGGTAAGGGTTTCATCATTAGAATGTTACCTCTCACTCCATTGTAGGCTTCATTCAGTCCCATCAGAAATTGAATCAATTTTTGGTCTTCATTCACCTTATGGTTGTGAGTTTTAGCACCACACTTACAATCACGGCTACAAATCATAAAAGTATTAAGCACCTTCATTTGATCCCAAATCCTTTTGAGCTTGTTAAAATAGTTGGCAAGATCAGAAGTTCCCTAACTGATTGTATTTAACTCTCTCTGCAGCTGAAACAATTTTGTTCCATCGGCTTGTCCATACCTTTGCTCCAGCTCTTGCCAGAGTTCCTCAGCAGTTTGAGATTAGATGACACTTTCTGCAATTTCCTTGCTAACAGAGTTGAGCAACCAAGAAAGTACCATGTCGTTGTATCTCTTCCATTGAGTGAGTAGAGCAGACTGAGAAGAGGGTGGAGGATAGGCTCCAGTGATGAAACCGAGCTTGTTTTTGGCTGACAAAGCAATCAAGACGCCCCTCTTCCAATTCCCATAACTTGTGCCATCAAAAATGGTGTTGATCAAGTTCATCCCTGGGCTATCAAATGGGGTAAGAAAGTAAGGATGAGAGATATCAATCTGTTGAGCAATGGTAGGAGCTGAAGAACCAGTGCCATCATCCTTAGAAATAGCTGAAGGTGTAACTGGAGTTTTGTCTCCCATTGTTCAGATATAGATAGTGAGGCAAAGAAGAAGAAGAAAAAGACAAGAAGAAGAAAAGAGAAAAAAAAATACACTAGATCTCAGAATTGCTCTGATACCGTGAAGGATTTAGGAGAAATCATCATGGGAATTTTCTTTCTGTATCATTCTATATATCATCTGTACAGTGTGTGCTCTTTATATACAAGTAAAATTGCCTGACAAGGCATATTTCTATGCTAACAAACTCTAACAGAATTGTAAAATAAATAATTGCAAAAGGAAAATATTTACATGGTAAAATCCCTAATCTACCCTTAATGTTGTTTCTAGAATTCCACAACTGTGCAGCTTATGAGATGCATGATGGAGGACACACGTCTTAATCATAGCAATCTTTGAGAACCTTAGATGTTCTTTCTCTCAACTAGGTCACGTCTCCTTCTCCTTCTGTAATCGGAGACTCATCGAAAATGGTAGAATGAAGATTTTGTCCGGCAACACCCTTCTATATCCTGTATGTGATTTGGCTTTGATAAATGGTTGTTAACTCTTCATGTTCGAAGAATAGTTCAACCTATTTGTGTTAAGCACTAATAAAATTAATTAGAAAGAGTTAACTTTATAGTATTAAGTATAAGAATGATTCTTACCTTATCCATGTTAACAATTTTCATGTACCAACAAGCCTTGGAAGCGTTAAAGTGCCTCAGCCCCATGTTTGAATTTCTCTTTTCAGCAATGCAGCAGTAAGTTATAGGAGGAACAAAAGCGTAGCTTGGAGAGAAACACATAATTCCAATCATACATGTTCATATTTGTTTGGTTAAATGCACACATTTAGATTAATTGTACTATTGATTTGGACCTTTGTCATTGGTGATTGAATTTATTTATCCTCTTGTGTGGATAAGTGATTCTAATTCAGTTGCAGTCATATATTTCTCTTCCTTGGGACGACACATGCCTACTTATTTGGGATATCTGGCCTGCACTTCTCTTCTATTTCCCGATCTCTTTCTTTATTCTTACTTCATGGTTTCTGTTTCTGTGCTTTTCTCTCTGAAAACGAGTTGTTACATGCTGTTTTTGAAAAATTGGTCTGCACACACTTGTGGATCGAACCTCCAAGATACAGGACGACTCTTATGAGCACTGGTTCGGTTTTTACGGTCTTGCATTATTGCTATTGATAATTCTTTTGAATATAAATTTTAACTAATTTCTATTAGATGTTAGTAATTATACCTGATTTATACATGCATTGTCTCTTTGATGTATTTTGTCTTTGTTACCAAAAATTCAAGGTATCAAAAGTGATTGTAATTTTGAAGTGGACCTTACAGCCATGGTATTTGATGATATGTCTAAGTCATCTTATTGGGAGTATACTGTTGTGTCCTCCTCCTACTTTGGCTGCAGACAGTGAAATCTCTAGGAGGACTGAGTAAGGAATCTTCCAGAAGAAATTCAATTTATCTTGTGGGGCCACTATTCAAGACTTAAGGTCACCATTTGGCTATAACCGCCGTCCACACACTAAAGATGTAAGGTATGATTTTCAGTTACATGTTATTGATACATTCTTTTTTGCTTTGTTTGGTAGGCTGTTCTACCTTTTTTTTGAAATTGCAGAATAGTAAAAGTGCACGAATCATCTGGTGTGGCTTTCTCCACTACCATTATTCGTCCCATTTTTATTCTTATAAAATTTAAATAATTCACTTGAGAAAACTTGAGGGGCATATTGATACTGAAAATACTTTATAAAGTATGAATGATACAAAACTCGCATCAGCCTTATTATTTTTCCTTTGGAATTGGAATGCTACAAGCTTGGACTTCTTTTAATTTCTTATGCGTTACTTTTACCAATATACTTTCTATGTGAAAAATATTTCTGCTTATTTTTCATTTGAGGTGATGGTGTTTTGCTATGTTTCTATTATTAATATGTTATTCATCTTGAAGTCAGTGATTCATTTGCGTTAAGCTTCTTCCAGATTGATTTTCCAGGCTAAAATGGCAAGAACTTGCCTCCTTTCACTTAAGCGTTACTGTAAAATATGGGTTCATCAAATTTCTCTTATAATATTTTTTATTGGGAGGTTCCTTCCATACCATCATATTTAACTCTTGGTTTGTACATACATAGAGGGAATAAACTTCTACATAGGATGGTAATAGTATAAGGAGAATCTTAACTAACATAGCTGGTGACCATATGCGATATAGCCGTTCAAAGTGTCTTCGCCTTGTACATTCTGTATATTGCCTTTTCATGTTTCCTATGTGTTATTTCGAGCTTAACTTTTTTCTCATGCTCATATCTCAAGGATGTACTTGAGGTTTCTTAGAATAGTTCTCAAGATTTTATCTTTTGTTGACTCATGAGTATAACAATGACTGCTTTTAACAAATCGTGGCAATATTTAGTGACTTTTTGGTGTTTACAGAGCATAATTTCTTTGCTGCAGTTGAAAAAATGTTAATGTTTGTAGAGTGGACAAAGAAAAATTGTCACTTTTTAGCTTTCTTCAGTTGGAGTCGCCTATGGAGCAACTCTGCCATTTGATGTGTGAAAGAAAGGAGAAAATAGTAAATCACCTACTTCTTCATTGTGAGATGGCTAAGAGATCAAAAACATGGTGACATCATTTGGAATAACACTACTCCTAAAGTGATTTTCTCTACTTTAAAAGGAGTTATGTTATTATCCAATTACCTTCTCCTTTTTCATTTGACATTTGGAAGTTCTAATATCTGGAGTGTGCCTCAATTCTTATGAAATTTTAAATACCTTTATAGGTCGTAGGAGACATTTCTAGAAATTTGATTTTAAATCCTATGGCACGAAAGTTGACGTTCATTGCTGATGGAGCATGAAAGCAACTCTATAGGTGGCTTTGGTGCACTGTCTGAAAAAAGCTTTTGTCAAAGAAAGAATTAAGGGAAACAGAAGTTGATAGCTTATAATCCCTTGGATATATAGTTTAACTTTGTAAATCTTTTGGTTTGCTGAATTCCTTGAATGAGTAGTGGAACTTTAATAATGTTTAATAAGTACAGTTCACAAGAGCAAATTAGTGTTGTTTAACTATACTCTGAACTTCTCTTCTTATACAATATGATGTTGTATGAAAATTCGTGTCTCCTGCATTCAAACTTGTGCTCTCACTTTGCCAGCAACATTTCTACTGCTCAACATCGCTGAGACTTCAAATTTCTCCATATTATTTATTCATGTTTCTGCTGCTACTCAAGTTTTTCTTAAAGCGTTCCTAAAACGTTGAATATGCACAGGATGTTGGGCCTGTGCTTAGCACGGGCATACAATTCTAGTTATTATATATTAGAAGTGACAGTTAAGGTGGGACGAACATGGCACTACGTAATTGTACAAAAAGCTATTTTAGTTGTACTGTAAAGTTGGGACAATATATATCTTCAGTTGTGAATCGATTTGCGCCTCTCCGTAGGAACACATGTACAACACTATTGTCAAACACGTGTACTACTTTCTTCTCCACGAAACACGTGTAGAGTATCTTTAGAAATTAGGAATAATTCTTGATAGTTAAATCAAAATTTATTCTTTCCCTTCTTGCTTTACTAATTTTGCTCTGCTTTTGTTCTTCCGAGTTCCTTTCATGTTGCTCTCTTTGGTTCATCAGACTAGAAGTGCCACAAAGATATCTCATTATTCACTTCACCCCATTCCAATGCTCTCTTCCTAGATTAGAACTAAAACGGCTGACAATACTAACAACATGAGCAATATCTTGTCTTGTACAAATAATTACATACATCAAACTGCCAACAACTGAAGCATAAGAAACTTTCTTCATATCTTCCTTCTAATCATCACCGGATGCACACTACTTCATGCTCAATTTGAAGTGCATAGCCAAAGCTGTACTGACAATCTTAGTTTTATCCATGTTGAATCTGTGAAGTACTTTCTGAATGTACTTCTCTTGTGATAACCACAACTTCTTGGCCTCACTGTCACGAACAATCTGCATGCCATGAATCTGTCTTGCTCGTCCTAAGTATTTCATAGCAAATGACTTGCTTCAACTTCTGAATCCTGCAAGGATTATGACCAACAACAAGCATGTCATCAACATAAAGTAATAAGATAATAAAGCCATCATCAGAGAATTTTTGTACAAAAACACAATAATTTGAAGAAGTCTTCTTGAAGCCCCGTTGAGTCATAAAAGAACCAAACTTTATGTACCACTGCCTAAGAGCTTGTTTCAAACCATACAAGCTCTTGTTCAACTTGCAAATAAAATTCTCTTTTCCCTTGACTTCAAAACCTTCTAGTTGTTCCATATAATTTTTTTCATCTAAGTCACCATGGAAAAAAATAGTTTTGACATCCATTTGCTCAACCTCTAAATCTAGACTTGTAGTCAAGCCCAGAACAACCCGAATGGATGACATCTTCAAAGATTTCATCAAAATCAACTCCTTTTTTATATTAAATTCCTTGACAACCAATCTAGACTTGTACCGTGGAACTGGGTTACCATCTTCATGATTCACCCCGAAAATTCACCTATTTTTCAAAGCTTTAACGAGAGAAAAATAAAGCCTACAAAAATGGTCGCATCGACCAAGCACGTAAGAGCCATTGTCGTCAGCCTAATGAGCCTCAGGGCCATACACACAAAAGGTCGCATTGACCTAAAGCGTAAGAGCCATTGTCACCAGCTTGAAATCTGAAAACTTGAGGGTCAAAATGAGCTCGAGTCATAACCCGATTTGGAGACCAGACCCAAAATAGTTAACTATACATGCCTAAGGGCAAAGCATAAGAGCAATTGTCGCCAGCCTAATGAGCCTCAGGGTCATACACACAAAAGGTCGCATCGACCTAAAGCCTAAGAGCCACTGTCACCAGCTTGAAATCTGAAAACTTGAGGGTCAAAATGAGCTTGAGTCGTAACCCGATTCGGAGATCGGACCCAAAATAATTAACTATACATGCCTAAGGGCAAAGCGTAAGAGCCATTGTCTCCAGCCTATTGAGCCTTAGGGACACACACATAAAAGGTCGCTTCGACCCAAGACATAGAGCCATTGTCGCCAGCCCACGTAAATTCGAAAACTTGAGGGTCGATTGAGCTCGAATCGAAACCCGACTCAGAGACTGAACCTAAAATAGTCAACTACATATGCCTAAAGGTAAAGCATAAGAGCCATTATCGTCAGCCTGATGAGCCCCAGGGCCACCCGCACATAAGGTCGCTCTAACCCAATGCGCAAGAGCCCAAGCCCAGCTCGAGGTCCTAAAAACTTGAGGGTCAGACGGACCCAAGTCGAGATCTAACTTGGAGACTGAGCTCGATCTAATAGAAATGCCTGAAAGCAAAAATGCAAAAGCTCAAATGCTAGATTACTCTAAGAAGTAACCGACTCAGTGTATACGAGTCACTATCATTAGTCTCGATGATAGTGAAGCCTGGGGGTCTAACCCCAAGATGGGACCCTGGTTCAAAAGTCAAAGAACATCACATAGCATTTTCAAAAAGCAAAAAGGAAAGGAGGATCAAAAAATAAAAACCCTTCTTATAACCTCCGGGGGAATGCTTACAAATCTTGAAAAAACCCTTACAAAGAAAGAACCAAACAGAACCCTAATCTACCATCGAAAGGGAGGTTTCCGGTGTCTCCACCAAAGATTGCATCCCGACGACTATGGGTCCTTTAGCAGCCTCTCTTCAACGGCCTCCTCTCCACCGAGGGCTCCGCCGTCTCCTTTGTCACCTCCTTTGCCACCGCTCGGCGCACCCCCAAAAGTAAGCAAGGCGGCATCTCTCTTCTCCAGGGTCTCCTTTCTCTCGAATTCAGCAGGCAAAATGATATCTCCCACACGTATATCCACTACCTGAGTTAACCTCGGCCCGGTCCCCTCGGGTACCCCTCCAGCTTGGGCGCTTATCACAATGGCATCTTCTCCATGCAAAGATATAAGTGTCTCATCTTTAGTCTTGATCATGGATAATGCAGCCACCAACTCGCAATGTAGATCCCTGTACTTGCCATTATCCTCTCTCGCCTCACTAAGCTGATGCCCAACCAATGTCGCCTTCTCCTGAAGAGCATCTCTCTCGGGAGATATCTCTCTCACGCCATTTGAGTTTGGAGTCTTTGGCCCGAAGATCCTCACTCAGCAGGGCACATTCCTTCTCGAACTACACAAATAAGATCCAAGATGTTAAAACATTGGGATCTGGCAAAACATTCAAATAAAGACAAACGGGAACTAGGTAACCTGCTCAGCAAGGAGAGCCTTCTCACACTCAAGGCGGGTCACCTCAACCTGATACTGAGTGAAAGTTAGATTGTAAAGCACTTTGGCCTAAAGCCACGCAAGAAGACAAGTTAGATAGAAAAAGGTTGAGCCAACCAAGGCCCGAGCAATAGACTGGGAAAGTGAAGATTACATGCTTGCAAAGCCTGCTCATTTTACCAACGACGAGGGAAGCATCGACCTCAGGAACTCCCTCAGAGACGGTCAGGGGCCTTTCGGGCACATCTTCAGGTTTGACAAGCATCCCCACATCAAGAGTTTCTTCGCGCAGGTCATCCTGCACTCCTTTGAAAAGTAGGTTCGTTTCCTGAGGAGAATCAATCACGACCACAATACTGGCAAGGTCAGTCGGGGCCATCCCTTGTCCATTCGGGGTCCCTGAACTAGGCTCCTCCAAATCACCTAAGGAAGGCACCTCAGATCGAGGAGAACTCTGACCACCGGCCAGCTTAGGGGCAGAACCTGATACTTCCTCAATCGTCTCTCCACCACAAAGTGGGGCTGCAATAGCATCAATCTCCGGCTCGGAAGCCACCATCTCTACGACCCTAGGATCAGCTAGGTTTATCCCTCCCTCGGGCATCGTCAAGAAGCTATTTTCCTCCTCACCCTCAACTCGAGGGTTTCCCGACATTTTCGGAGTTAGATTTGCCGAGTCGGCTTTTGTCTCTTATGCCTTAATCCTCTTTGATTCGAAAGGTCTATCTAACGGATCCCCTTGTCTTTTCTTCCCTTCATGGGGTACCGAAGAGCCTTCCCCGCTGGGTAAAGCTCCCTTCATCAAGGGGACTTCCCCCAAACCTACACAAAGGCAAGAGGTAAGCGCAGGGAATGTGAGAGCCTCCAGTAGCGATTTAAGTCGAAAGGGATGAC